TTCGATTTTAAAGATCTTAAAGATCTTAAAAGATTTCAAAGTGTCTTACTACTCTAAAAAATTTTTATAATAAAACCCGGGTCAAACGGGTAACCCGTGACCCGGGTGGACCAGTCGATCAACCCTGGTGACCCGCGGGTTCACCCGTCGTGTGACCCGGGTCGCATTTTTTTGAACGGGTTATATCACTACTTAGAAGTTACATGATTATACATGATTTAACAAATTCATCTTAGAGAATGTAGGTGCAAAAGTCGTTAACACTATAATTAAATAACAAATTTGCTTTATGTTCAGATTATAATAATTTTTAATAATCTGTTACCTATAATAAAAATTCTATCGATTTAAAGGAATATACCATTGAGATTCGATTTTGTCATAGTAAAGTTGTAATTTAATATTTAATATATTTTTTTATTATGGCTGAATCTTCGTAGTTTCGAAAATTTTCTTAAACATCATTAATTAAAATCGCTCTTTGGTGATGATATTTCTAAAAAAAAATTCGCTAAAATTAGGCTAAAATTTGGACATATTTTATATGAATATTTATAATTTTTTAAATGACAACTTTTATTTTTTTTTTAGATTTAGGTTAGAGTTTAGAGTTAGAGCTGTTAATCAATAATTTTAAATTTAAAATAGATATCTCTCATCGCCAATTTCATCATTAACGCATCAATAAGCAATTATCAAATTCTTTATTGATACGCGTTTTCATCTGTTTATTTTCCCAACTAAATAGTTTTCTACTCTGTTGGATCAGTCTTAACAAATTAAATAACCAAGATGGTTTGATTTGTTTCGTTTAGTGAAGGAATTTAAAAATATTAATTCGTGGTTTATGGTTTATGGACGTAAATGGATAGTTGGAATACAATAACCTAATTACTTATGATAGTTTTTTTTTTTAAGAACCTTAAAACCATTATCACAATGTTTAACTTGATTTTGTTATAATGATGCTTAGGTTATTTTTCTTTATATAATTATTATAGTTTATTATTAGCTTGTAAATATGAAATTGTTATGTATGGTCATTTTGAATATGCAGGATAATATCTGTATTGAAGCACCATATACCTATAACGAACTAAAGATTCAGAACCAACAACATATATATACACATTTATACAGTGAACATTCATAAGGCTAGATAAAGTAATTATATTCCTGTAATCCATTCATATTAAATCGCATTAGGTTACTGCTTGAGAAACTTAAAACACCAAACATCAATCATCTAACTAGTGTTTGAGATGTAACATCTTCAGGCTTTGAAATCACTAGAGTGTTTTAGTAAATTCAATCATTTTCATATTCTATTTAACATGTTATTCTTATATGAATTGCTACCTCGTAATTATTGATTTAATTTAAACTGATTTTTTTTACCATTTAATTTTCATTTCTTAATTCATCTGGTAGCGAATATCAATTTAGGTTTAAAAAACCATGTTTTTTCCCCTTAACAGGATATCCTCAGGCACTTTTAAAACTCGTAATTTTAATTTTAATTTTAATACATCATTAATTTCGAGTAACAAATGCAGGACATTTGACATATTTTTATAAAAGCAGAATTAATTTACAATAATTATATCAAATTAGTACGTGGTTTATTTGTTGATAACGCGTAAAAAAATGGTCAATATCCATGTTAAAATTTCAAGTTTAAAAAAATTTCTATGGTGAATTATTCCATTTGATCAATTTCAACTTCTACTTCTGGGATAACTCCAATGTTCTCCCAACTCAAACATTCAAGAAATTTCGCATCCAACTCTCTAACATCACAATTAGGGTTAATTGCAATAGCATCAATAGAGTTACCTTCCGCTTTATCTAGAATACTTTCATTAAGCGTGTAATTCTTAATGAAATCGCAAGAACGTTTTATTGAGAACTGAGA